TACGCCGCTCCTGGATATGGTCGAATTAATAAAATACTGCAAAATAAATTGAAGATGACTATAAAATGACAACCATGACATCAAGCATGCCAAAAATTGCTTCTCCATTTGGAAACACTTTTTCAAATATTTTTTCCTGTAATTTGATAAGAAGCCTTTTCTGTGACCTTACAATTAAAATATTAATTCTTTTTTATATTAATTAATCCTTTTAAATTCATATACTCATTCTAGAATGAAATGAAATAGAATTCACGATTACGTTACATCCTAATGGATAAATCTGGTGTGTTCAGGTAGAAATAGGTGGAGACAGCAGCAGGTTAAATCCGTCATATCTTTAATAGTAAAAACAACAACATCTGATTTTTGCATAAATTGTGATAGAAAAAAAAGAAGGAAGGTCAAAGTGAAAGTAAACAGAGGAATTAGCTGCCAGGAACAGAACATTTTGGGAACAGCATTAGGGAAACTCCATCAGTGGAAAATTGCAAGCTGATTTTGCAAACCTGCAGGGAGCTTCTTCTCCTTTTTTTCCACTCTTACAAGCTGCTGTTGTGCAAATCTGATTCTCCTGGTGTTTCTACTCTGGATGCAGAGACGTAAGTTCAGCATGAACGAACAACAGGTGGTGCTACGGGTAAATACACCAGGTTAAAAAAAATCGATTATTTAAGACTATTTTTAATGCGACTGTACACGTTTTGCCTCAGATGTTAATAACATTTTCATTAGCTGCTCCATTAATTTTTCATCTATGCGTACAGTTATGTTCAAAATAAGAGATCTGGACACCTGCTGACCAATCAATCCCTCAGAAAATCAGTGCACTATTCCTGGAACATCCCCGGAGTCAATGCATGGATAGTATGAGGGTCTACAGTATAAGCATTATCCTAAAACAGAGCAGCCATGTTCTTGTGACATACCCTATACAATTTTTTTTTTATGTATTTCTGTATTTATTTACTAGCTGTTATGATATGATCCTGTCTTCCTTCACTCACTATGTGTTAATAGGCTTCTCTGCATTGAATCATACTTGTTATTAATCTCTTGCTTTCTTTCACAGCATGTCTTTTATCCTGTCTTCCTTCCCTCACCCCAACCAGTCGCAGCAGATAGCCCCGCCCCTTCCTGAGCCTGGTTCTGCTGGAGGTTTCTTCCTGTTAAAAGGGAGTTTTTCCTTCCTACTGTTGCCAAAGTGCTTGCTCATAGGGGGTCATTTGTATTATTGTAGAGTCTGCTTTACAATATAAAGCCCCTTGAGGTGACTGTTGTTGATATTTGGAGGTGTGCAAATAAAATGTCACGGACCTGGCTCTGGGGACTCGGGGTCCGTGGGCAGTGGGGACTATGACTGTTGTTATTATTATTATTGTCATTATTATTATCATTTGGTGTGTCGTCTGCACTGCCTCCTATCTCATCCGTATGTAGGCAGGTGTGTGTGTGTGTGTGTGTTGCTGTTTTCTGTGGCCATGTTACAGGCACCTTCAGGCCTGAGGGGCGTGGCCTGGCTTGAGAACTGGCCACACACCTGCTCCTCATCTGGGCTCGTCAGGGGAGCTATTTAGAAGAGCGATGGAGCTTCCACCGACGCTGGATTATTGTGTTTGACTTCACGGTAGTCTTCTAGCATAGTCAGAAAGTGTGAGTGTATGCCTGCTGGGTTAAAGTGTGTAACGGCTGCCTCTATTGTTTTCCCTCAGGAGGAATGTGGGACGAGAAGGAGCAGTGAGCACGGGGAGTGCAGGGACACTGGAGCAGAGAGCACTACACTGGGACTTTTCTGGGAAGAAGACACAACACGGGAGTCTGGGAAACTTTGGAATTTATTGTTGCTTACTTCACCTGTAAAAAAACACTGTTGCACTGAAGAGTCCGGCGTTTGGATCCTGTTTCCCCTCCTCCCCACGGCCTGCCATCCAGACCGTGACATAAAATTGAATTGAGTTATTCTATTCCACAGATCACTAACAATGGTGACCGTGGATTTTAGTTGCTTCCATCTGTGCCATGTGTGCTGTATGTCAAAATGTCTTCAAGGGGTGTGTTTATGTAGTTTCCTGTAGTTTGTTTGATCTGATTCAATTGATGAGTTTGCACATTTGTAGATCTTTCCTGTTTTTTGTTGGTAAACAAACAGCTACAGTATGAATTTTGCTTTGCACTGGACTGAAACAATCTCCAAAGGATCTCGACGTGGTTGTTTTGGTCCATGTGCGAGTGCGATTATCGTGTTCACACCAAATAAACAAACCACACCAAGAGGGAAAACCAACCAGAGTCTGATTTAAACATGCTAAACAGCAGAAATGTGAAAACACTGTTTTGATGAAAAACACATCTCACCAGGAGATGTAAACATATATGAAACTGTCTAATTAGTTGGTGTTTCTTTTCCTCTTTAAATTGGACTGGTTACTACATTTAGAGAGGGATCCTAATCTTACAGCTTAAACTTCCAAACAAGCGCTTCTTCTGCTTCAGTGCTCTTTAAAGACCCACAACACTTTTGGGATTCACGGGAACCTTGTTATCCAGTCTCGCTTTGGACCATTCACATGCTTTTTGTCCAAACAGAAGGAAAAGTTCAGCTTCTCCCATGTGTTGATGATTTACATTTGATTTATTTCTTTTGGTCCGATGCTGCCAGCACCAACCATTTCATGTGAGGATGCTCATACCTAGATTTGGAAACTTTGGGTTGATTATAAAACTGATAACAACAGCATCCTCTTACCCCACTGATCATGTTAGGGGATGAGCAGCCAGGAATGATTAACTTGCTTTGTAGCACCGGCCTCGGGATCATCCCCTGCACTTGAGACGGTGTCCACAGTGAAAGTCCATTTCTCAACCACAGACCGTTTCAGCTCGCAGAGCTAAATGCAGCGCGAGTGGGCTGTCTAAACTGTGTCCAGGGTCAGGTTACTCATATCAACTGGAACTTTTCTTTTCAGTTACTGAAATGTTTCATCTTTAAAGTTTGTTCAGAACAGACAAACGCTGTCAGCGTTTCTCCACCTTTTTGTTTTCGGTGTATTAACTTTCCAACCCCGCAGCCTTCTTCTCACTGTCTGTGGTTAACGAGCTGCCTTTTCTTGTTGATAGATGACGGGCTAATTAACACGCAGGTGTGACAGGAGACTCAGGTGCTCCCATCAATATGACAACACCATCACTGCTGAGCCATGAAGACAACCCTGGATTGTATTTTAAGAAAAAGTTGTTTTTTAATGTATATACATTTATATATATATCATATTTGTGCAAAACACATTTTATTCTGATACTGCCCTTTAATTAATTTATTGCTAATTTGCCAGTCATTTACTGTTTTTACATTCTATTGATGTGATTGGTTTATCTTTAGTTTCTCCTGTCATTGTAATTAAAAGGCTCAACTGTATGATTGTTGTGCATGCATACACATTTACAATGACATACAAATGTGAAAAAATCAACCCGACTGTGAGGACCGACCCTAATTAAAGTTGTAGCTGTCAGATAATTAATTTATTGATAACAAGAGGCATGACTAATTTGTTTAGAGATCAGCTGTCAATCATGACCCATACAGCAAACAGCACATGGTAACGTCAGTATTAATGTGACAGAATTCACACATACTAACCTAACATAAGCTTTAGCATTTTTTTTTTAGCTGTGTTTTGATTTTTTTTTTCTCCTCTCATGTACTTTCTGCCAACAATCAGGGGATGGGATCTCTGACCATTACTGTAACCAGCAACTGGTGGGAAAGCTAGATATTTTAGTGCCACTTTTGGGGAGCTGTCATGTCTTTCATCTTTATTTTACTTCAGTCCAGGGAAAGAATAGGCATGTATACCCAACAGACAGACCCAGTGGTGCCCAAAGTTACATACTTAGACCTGCATCTCTCATCTCGTCTCTAACTACATGACTTGTTTTGCTGTATCTTATGAAAAAGTCAGTAACAAATGAAGTGTATAATTTTAAGTCAGCTGTGACTAATTACTTGCAGCACATATACAGTTGAATTTCATGCTTCACAGATGAGACTCAATTTGGCAAAAATAGACGTAGTATGTATAAAGTGCAGCAGGAATAAGGGGTCAGACAGTCGCGATACCTTCATGAGTCAATTTACCTTTTAAATCTTCATATTTGTTCCAATTAATGATTGGTCCTAACGTGTGTGCTAACTGTTGGTTAGCAAACTAACAGGGTAATGAGAACAGAGGGATCTGAAATTATTCGCTCATTCGACAAACTCAACTCCCTACAAGGAAATTCTACATAAACGACTCTGCAGTGAGGATATTGTTAAAAAATTAATAATTTTAACGAGAGTGTGGTAATTCTGTCATTACTGAGGCACAATTAAAGATTATTAGCCATCTTTGTAATGTTTAGAAATTATTATTGATATTAATAAATACAGTAATGTTGGTGCTTTGGAATGCGTGTGAGGCTACAGTGTTAGGTGTTTTGTTTTTTCGGCACAATAAAATGTGATACTCACTACATCTTCTACTATAAGAGGTGTGTTCAAAAAGTTCCAGGACTTAAAAACTCTTTACCTGAGTTATGCTCATCTCGTCTCAAAATCACATTGATCTGGATGGATGGATTCCAGAGCAGCTGCTATGTTTTACATCATTCTCTCCCGTATGGATTTCACCAAACATCCCACACTTTAGCAAACTCCTCTTTTGAAACTGGCTCCATCTTTGAAGGAAGGATCTTGACCGGTGATGAAAGCTGGATCTCAGGTTGTGACTGACTATTTTTCAAGTTTTCAGTTGTTAGGTGAGAGGCACGACCAAAGCATCACCACCACTTCTTTAATATTTAATCGAATCAATTGAGGAGATTACGAATGCTATAGATCAGAAACAGTATGCAGCTAGAGTATTTCTGGATCTCAAGAAAGCATTTGACACAATCAATCATGACATATTAATTAATAAACTGGAAAAAGCGAATGTAATGGTGGCTCCTGGATTCTGTTACCTGTCGATCACTTTAGCCAGATTGTCAAAGAACTCCCCAACTGTAGTCTTATTGAAGGCTGTAGCTCTTCCCAAAGATGTTGCCTCAGGCATACGGCAAGAGAGATGGTGGCGTGCCAAAAAATTCTTGAACCATTCTTTACCTAAAAAATGTAATGGTAAAGTAGTAAACTACACAAAATACATTAGTCTGTGCCAACCTACTGAAATGTTGTTTCTTGCACTTCCTACCGGCTAAACCTTTCTCTGTCCAGTTGCTGGGAGTAGGAATGTTGTTTCTGCCTGCCAATTCTAATGCCAGTTCACGGCATTTCTTTGGGGAAATGCCATGGAACTGCTCTGCAAGCTTCTTGATATGCTCTGCTAGCTCCTTCTCCACCTCCTCAGAGAAGACTCTCTTTGCTGAAGCTGTTCCACTATAGCCAACCGATTTGACCTCCTGTGTGTCCCTCTTTTTAATATATCTCCTGAGTGTTGACCTGTCAATTTGTCTTTCTTTAGCCACTGATCTTATGGACTTTCCTCCCTTGACTTCACTCGCTGCCCTTTCAATCTCCTCCAGGGGTGTTGAGCCCCAGCTGGTCTTCCGTCTGTAGGTCCTTGGCATGATATCTTTTCTATAATAGTTAACATATGACAAATACAACAAAAGGGTTCAGTATACTGAACTAAAATACTATTTAATAAGTCAGAGCCTTAAATAAATTTCAGTGCCTTATGGTGGGGTAGGTTGAACCATTGGATCAATTTACCCCATAGCCTTTGGCTCACTTTGCCCCATAGCCACCATTTTGAAAAAAACGGGCTAGCTTAGCAATTTAGGCTAATCTTTAGAAAACTTCTTCAGATGATATTATATTTTAGAAACCCACCAACATGTATAATATATCATTTTAGACACAGATACATTTGTTTTAATATTACAGTCAATTTACCTGATATGCAGAAATTTTACTTTGACAATGTCATGATCCTGGGTCTGTTGACCCAGCGTTTTGTGTTTAGTTATGTAGCCTTCAGGTTTCCTAAGTTTATCGTTATCATGCCTAGTTGTTTCCAGTTATTTTCCCCCTCGTGTTTCCACTTTGTTAAGTCTCCCCTGCTTTCCATGTATTTCATGTCTGTGGCTTATGTTGTCAGTTCAGGTTGTCATGTTTATATCTCACTGTGTTTCCTGTCTTATTGTGAAGAGGTCTGGTGTGTCTGTGTTCATCGTGTTCAGTTTTACTCTCCCAGTGTCACGTCGTTATGTTCATGTGTGTCTGCTGGTTCCCCATGTGTTGCCACTTTCCTGATTATCCTCCTGTGTCTATTTAGTCCGTGTGCCTTCAGTCATTCGTTGTCAGGTCGTCTGTTGTATTTCACCCATTGTACTGCCCATCCATGTCTCATTTCCAGGTACCCATGTCAGTTCGTTTATGGTT